AAAAAAAAAAAAAAAAAGACATTTAAGACCAATTTTGGAAATAGAGAACTCATTTGAAATTGTAACATTTAAAATATTTCTACTTTTAATTTACCTTTATATGAACTATAACCCAGTATTACCTTAAATACTTGACAGACTGTGGTATAACAGGCTTAAGAAATAAATATAAAGTCATGAAAAGGCAGCATATGACAAATGGGTAAAATTTTAGGGTAAAAGGTTGTGCTGTGAAGGGTGCGGCATTTAAGATAGGTTTCAGTCAGAAGTAAATGCATCAGGGTGAAAGGAAGCCACATCAGAGGAAAGGAGGTGGGCTGTGCAGGCCACAGTGGGAGAGTAGCTAGTAGTATATTTAAGCTGGGACGACGGGGGCTTTTGTGGCACACAGGCCACAGGGAGCTTTCTTCTCTTCATAGTAAATTGGTTATCTGATATCAGTGGAAAAGGTTAGAAGTTTTGCATCCATGGCTTGCTGGGTAGCAGAAGGGTGGTATAGGGGAGGTCTTTTAAATCAAGAACCAATCAGGTTTTGACTCTTCTTCTGCAACTAATGAGCTTTGGGATTTTAGGGAAATTCTTCCCTTAGCTTCTGGTTTTTCTTCACTGACAAAAGAGGGTGATAACCACCAACTCTGTAATAGTTAAATAAAATAATGCATATAAAACATACACCATGGAGTCTGATGTATAGTAAGTATACAGTAATTATATCCACAGTGATACTTACATTTTGTTGTAGAGGCTCTTCAATGTTAGGCTGAGCAGTTAAAACTTAGTTAAGTAGGCCAGAGAATGAGACTGAAGAATTTTTTCATCAGTGGAATGATCAAAGCTGTGGTTGAAGATGATCTTGCATCAGGAAATAAGTTGGGTTGGGGGGAAAGGATGGACTGGAGATAGATACCAGTTAAAAGGCTATTATAATAGCTTTAGAGAAGACAGCAGCAGGGGGCAAAGAAAGGGAGAGGCAGCATTCAAAAGACTGTTGAAAGGACAAATGTATAGGACTTAGGAGCTAATGTTATATAGATGATGAAGAAAAAGTATCTAGGTGAGATTTTAGATTTATAGCAGGTCCTCGAATAATGTCGTTTCTTCAATGTCATTCATTATAGCATTGACGAAATGCCATAGGAACTTAACTCTTGTTTATATCAATTAGTCTATGGTAAAATTGGTTTTGTTATACATTGTTTCACTTAAAGTTGCAGAATCTATCAGCAACATTAAATGAGGACTAACTGTACATTGAAGTTATTTGGGTAATGTTGATGTTCATTAGATGGGCAGTGAGAAGGCAGCTTTTAGTCTCGCATACAGTAAGTGTAAGGTACTGTTACAGTTTTAGAGCGGAACTCTTCATCAGTGATGGAGAGCTTTGGGAAACAGTCAAAACGTTAAATGGATTTGGGCATCACCAAGGGAGAGGAACGTAGAGAGGCTATGTGAAAATTAAACTTTCAATAGGGAAGTCTACAGTATAACTTTTATTTACCACATAATTAAAAAGTTGTGGTTAGTGTCACCGACAATAAAACCATTTTGGCATTATCTCTCTCATTCTAACAGAATGCCTATTTTAACAATAAGCTGGGGTTTTTTCTTTCGTGGTTTAAAACAGTATAGGTGATGAATCAATGTCTCAGGTAAGGGGTTGATTGAACTTGGCTTTTTACTTTAAAAGAAGAAAGTATTTGTGAATTTTGTGTTAATTAAAATGAATGTCTAAGTCTGCACCAAAATGGGTAGGTGTGTGGCTTATTCTTTTCTGCCACTAGAGGTTCTTTCTGAAAATTGAAAAGCTATGCATTTCCAAAAGAGAAGGTTTAGAGTCTGACTAGAGTAACTGATGAAGTGGAGAACTATCAAATGAGAACCATAAATATCAGAACTATCTGTTTTGTAAAGGGGAGAGTGAAAAGTGAGTATGTTTTAAGTCTGTAAAAATGCAACATACGTACGTAATTCTCTAAATTCCACATATCAGATCCCATGATTTCTAGCCCTTCCAGTTCACTTAAATGGCATTAACCATTATTTTTATTAATTATTGATGTTTGGATTCAACATTTCCTTTTAGGTGTTTCAAAATCTTGAGTGCTAATGGTGAGGCAAAAGTGTTCAGACCAAGGGACCGTGATGATATTGTAAAAACTGTGATTGAACCGATGGCATCGGAAGGCTTGAGAACCATATGTCTTGCGTTCAGAGATTTCCCAGCAGGAGAACCAGAACCAGAGTGGGATAATGAAAATGATATTGTCACCGGCCTTACATGCATTGCTGTTGTGGGGATTGAAGATCCTGTGAGACCCGAGGTGGTGAAACATTCTGTGTTCTGCATGTGCAGAATCTGTTATGTGTAGAGGATCTGGGCACTAACTGTAACCACTTTTCCAGTAACATTCTTGGTGTTTGTGATTTTATTTTTTTCTGTGTGAATCCAAGATAAATGAAATGACAGTGCTTGTGACACAATACTGTCTACTTACAGCTTTTAACTAGACAGCTTCCTTTGAGATCCTGTGTGTTTATAGCACCATAACCTAGCACAGTGCCTTAACCTGAGTAGGGTTTTCAACTGATATACTAAAGTAAATAATAGATGCCATTAAGTTATTTCTTTGCATAGTCTATAGACCAGCACTGTCAGTTAAACTCTCTGATGACAGAAATATTCTGTGTATTGTTCAGTACAGTAGCCACTGGCCACGTGTGGCTCCTTAGTTCTTTAAGTATGGCTAGTACAACTGGAAAACTGAAATTTTGATTTGATTTGATTTAAATTTAAACATTTCATTACTATATTGGACCGCAGGCAGCTCTAGACTTTGCTTTTCCTCTTTACATCATTTTTTTTTAAAGTTTATTGAGTAACAACTGTGCGCCAGGCACTATACGAGGGTACTAGAGACATAAAGATTATTGAGATCTGATCTCTGGTCTTGTTGGGGATGACAAACATAATTATAACCCAGGATGTTAATTCATTGTTAGATATATGTGAGCACAGGACATGAGCCCTCAACCTACTCTAAAGTAATATAATCTTTTTATTGTGTTCTTACTGTGTGCCAGATACTATGCCAAGTGCCTTACGTGTATTAATTCTTTTCATGTTCACATCTGTGAATTATGAGTATCATTACTCACATTTGATAGATGGAAAAAAAAGTTGAGATATATAAAGGTGAGCCCTAGACCACAGAGCCTAGTGTGCTCAAATCCTGGCTCTGTCTAAAGCACATGCTATATTAACCACTGGAGTGGTCAGGTAAAGATAAAACTTCGTAGATCTGCGTCTTAAAAGATGAGGAGGCATTAGCTCAACCAAGAGAGATAGGGGAGCAAAACACAAAGGCAAAACCAGCTCTTGTTCACTGTCAACTGATTGATTCAACACCCAGTGTGTAGTACCAGACACTCTTAGGAACTGAAAATACTGTAGTCAACAAAGCAGTCATAAAACTTTCATTCTAGAGAAGTAACACAACCAGACAGACAAAATGATAGCTATGTGGATTGTGTGCCAAGTGAAATTACGTTCTTTGAGGAATGAGACTTCCTGCTGCCCTCATAGGCCTTTCATTCTGGATGGCATGGGGGGAACCGGGAGGGTGACATCAGTTAAGACAAGTACAGATGTGATAAGGGCTAGAAGGATATGCACAGGGCGATAAAACAAGGTAATTGAGAGAGACCACAATTCAGAATCTCTGAGGATATGACATTCAAGCTGAGATCCGATGGCTAAAAGTGAGGCAGCCATGTAAATAGCCACAAGAAGAGTAGTCCAAGCAAATTGAACAAAATAAGCGGGGGGCTAAAGGTGAGAACGCATTTCTCTATTTCAGAGATGGAAAGGAGGCCAGTATGGTGAAAAGTGTGGACAGGAAGGAGCAGATGAGATTATCTTGGGTCATACTAGGCAATAAGTGCTCTAAGCTTTATTCTAAAATTAATGACATTCAGGCTGACATGATTCATGTTGTTAAAATATTATTTGGGTACCATGTAAGAAATGAATTAGAGAGAGAAGAAGCAGGGAAGCCAGTAAGATTATTGCAGTAATCCCAGGCAAGAGATGACCATGGTTTACAGCTACAATTGTGGCAGGGAAGATGGAAAGAAAGGGATGATTGCAAAGTAAATGGAGGTAGAACCAATAGGAATGACTGGGCGGGGTTTGGATATACTGTTTTTAACATTGTTGAGGTGTCTGAAACATCCAAATGTATGTGAAATAGGCATTTGGACCTAGGAGCCTGAAAGTGGCCCAGGCTGAAACATTCACATTTGAGGCTAAAGGAGATCTCCTGCGGAGAGCATGTAGCTAAAGAGGGTTTCAGATTACTATATTGCCACAATTAAGCACCTTCCCAAAGTGGGGAAATCAGTCGCTAACATGCATAACTGGGTGTGTGGTGTAATAAGAAAATCAGAAGAAACAGCATATGTAGAGATGAAGATAAATTGAGTTTGTGGGTTTTGGAGTTTCAAATGCTTATGAAACATCCAAGTGGATCATTTTACCAACTGTTGCTCAGAGCAAACCATTCAAAGTTTTATACATTGACTTTTGACTTAAGTCTTATCTAAAAATAATACTAAATCAGGATGTCTACAACTTCTATCCTTCGGAAAATGGATCGCTATTGTGTTCTTGGCATTGAGGTTGATGGAGAGTTTTATCTTATTTTTAAACATGGAAATGGCACTTAATTTTTTTCAGCATCACAAAATAAGATGGGTACTTTTTGAAAACGAGACAGTGTCATATGAAACAGCTTTGAGTAGCTGCATTTTGACGTTCTGATGTAGAGAATCTAGATTAATTGGGTATCTAGGACAAACCCAGCTTCACTGCATATGTGTAGGTACTTGGACAAGAGGTACTTAGCTTCTCTTCAGTTTCTTATCTGTAAAAAGTGATGGTAGTTTGAGAGTTTTAAGTGAAAGCATTTGGTGGTTAGTGGACAATTAATAAGTGTTAGTTTGCCTTTCTTAAATATTATTTGCCATATAGTGTTAATCTGAGACCCGTTTCCTCCTCTTATTCATTGTTCCCCTATTCCAAATAATCTCAGGATAGCACCTGATCAGGGAGTGCTTACGTGAACACATTTTGGTTACATTTTATCTCAAATGAGGTGTCGGGATATATATTACATTTGTACCGCAGGCTAGTGTTTTCAAAATCAAATACTGATTTTTATTTTTAACATAATCTGGCAGGCTCTGCCCTTTCACTCACCTCTGTGTCACCAGCGCCTACCATAGTGCCTGGCATTCAGTAAATACTAGTTGAAGTGAATGCGTATGATGTTTCTTTCCAAGGATGTGAATGACTAAGAGCTCACTGGATGGAAGGATATACTTTTACATTATAAATCCTAAAGCTAACAGATACATATTTATTTATGTTGCTGGTAATTAAATTGCGCACATGTCCCGAGACACAGTGGTACCCATAATACCCTGTCTGGAATATGCCCCTCCTTGGCAAATACCTAAGGGTGACTATTTTCCCAAAGATACTTAATTCAGTAGTTCAACAAATACTAAGCTCCACTTATATGTCAGGCACTTGTTAAATGAATGAAAGGCATTGTACCTAGGTGTCGGTGATCCAGACATGGGAAGGTCAGGGTTCTTCTACCCTCAAGAAGCTCATTGATTTGCTGAAAACTCACGTAAACAAATAACTATACTGTGATATGTGAGCTGTAATAGAGGTATGCATATAATGTGAAGGCACAATTCTTTTTAGATAGGCCATCGAAGCTCCCAGAGGAATTAACACTTAAACCGTATCTTTAATAGAAGTCACAAACAGCTTACAGACCAAAGTTACCCTTTAGTTACATTATCTTTGAAGTGTGTATGTGTGTGTGTGTGTGTGTGTGTGTTTGTGTGTTTAAAACATTCAATATTGAGAGAGTACACACAAATCTGGGTTTCTGCTTTCTTTTGAAATTGTAGGTTCTGTCAACATTGGGCACTCATTCTCCCATGGTAAAAATAGGCTAGCGCTGAGTAGCTCTTTCATTAGGCGTTCTTCTGGGGTTTGTCGCCTTCGGCGTGTTTCCTCTTATGTTACCTTCATGGCCCTGTAGTATTTGCAACCTCTGCTCTAGTAGGATTTTCTGGTTAGAGAAGAGCAGGAAAGGATTTTCTAGGCGAAGGGAACTACAGAAACAGGCACAGAAATAATATGTAGATTATTCATCTATCAAGTTGTATATAGTGGAGAAAATTTTTAGATAAATCTAGAAAACTGTTTGGAGGCTCAGGTGTGATACTCTGTTATACTGAGGACTTTGTGGTTTATAGTATAACAACTGGGGAATCATCATGTATTTCTAAGAAAGTGTATTAGAAAAAGAACACTGCTGTCAAGTATACCAGATGTTTTAAAGGAGGAACAAACATAAAGATAGGGATACAAATTAAAAAGCTGTTTCAGTAGCTCAGGCAACAAGCACTGGGGACAGGGGAAGGTTTGAGGTCAAGTCTGCAGCGCTTCAGGATGTATAGGGTAAGGGGGATGGAGGAGGTCAGAGGAGTCTTAGGTTTCTGTTCCATGAGTAGGTTTAGAAAACGTGTTCTCCTTTTGGACACCCAAATTCTGTTGCCCACTTTTGTCGGGGAATTGTGAATTCAGTTGTTACAATGAGGTGGGGAAAGATACAGTTTTAAAAGTTACTAGCACACAGATGGTGGTCAAAGGTAAGAGAGTAGATGAGCCACCCATAACCCTACAGAACACCAGTACTTGCGCTGGTGTTGCATGGGCAGTAGGACCAGAAAGGCAGAAAGCCTGTGGTAAATAAGTGATGCAAACACATTAAACTGCATGACAACTTGAAAATGAAGCCTGAACTAGGACTGTGGCAGTGCAAGAGGAAAAAAGAGGTTATTGGGAATAATTCAAGAAATATTGACTATTAGGGTGAAATTGAAATTATTTGTGGGGTTATGAGGTAATGCATATTTGTTCAGTGGGATTTTTTTTTCTTTTGGAAACACTAATTTTCTTTCATAATATGGATTTTTTTTTAATGTAAACCAGGTACCAGATGCAATAAAGAAATGTCAGAGGGCCGGAATTACTGTGCGGATGGTCACTGGTGATAATATTAATACTGCTCGAGCTATTGCTACCAAGTGTGGTATTTTACATCCTGGGGAAGATTTCCTATGCCTAGAAGGTAAAGATTTCAACCGGAGAATACGAAATGAAAAAGGAGAGGTAAGAGACTTTTATTTTTTTAATTGATTAGAAATTTAATTCAACAAAATCATACTAAATATACACCATGCATTAGGCAGCACATGTTAAGAAATGCAACCTGCACCTCAAGAAACAAAATATCAGCATTTTAGGAAATAAAAGGGACAACTGATATTTTGTGAGCACTTGTTTGTTTATTTAAGTTTAGACCAATTTTCTTAGTACAGTATGTGAAAGCGAGTGATAGGAGATGAGTTTTGAAAGGTTGATAGGGAGCATATTTTAGAGGACCCCAAACTCTGAGCTTTTTATGCTAAATTAAGGAGCTTCCATTTTCATAGTCACTGGGAAGATTTTTAAAATTGGATCTATAGGAGTGGTTCTCAAACTTGAGTATGCATCAGAATTACCTGGAGAACTTTTTAACACATCGATACATAGGCCACACCTCTGAGTATTTAATAAGAGAAACCTAGGGCCTTGCTCAAGAATTTCATTTCTAACAAGTTCCCAGGAATGGCTGGTGCTGCTGGTCTGTTAACCACACTTCTGAGAACCACTGATACATATGCGCGGTAACTAATTTGGAATTATGAAACTAGGCTTGGGCACATATTAACTTTGACAAAAATTTATAGATTGAGCAAGAGCGGATAGACAAGATTTGGCCAAAGCTTCGAGTACTTGCAAGATCGTCTCCTACTGACAAACACACACTGGTTAAAGGTGAGTAGGTTTTATATTTCATAATTTCTTAATACAGAGATGTGTTCTACTTCTTAAAATAGTAATTAATACTGAGTTTTAGATTGAGTCATGGATATCATCCTTCCCAATAAAATCTAAATACATTTCTTTTTGATGCCTTCGGTGAATGTGTTAATCTTCAGTGAGTAAACAGGATATTGCTCCTAATGTAACCTTAGTTTCTGGAGTTGATCCTTGTCCAACATCTCAGCAGTTTCCATTCCTCTATGTTTGTTTGTTTAATTATTTATTTGTAACCTTGCATCTGTAAAACTGACTTGTCAGGATATTCTGCAGAATCACCTTATTAATTAAAGGGAATGTTTTTACAGCACAAGTATTTCCGTTGATTTCAGGTATAATTGACAGCACTGTCTCAGAACAACGTCAGGTTGTAGCTGTAACCGGAGATGGCACCAATGACGGTCCAGCACTAAAGAAAGCTGATGTTGGATTCGCAATGGTAGGAACTTACCTATTCAAGTGTAATTTACAGGCGAGGTTTTTTGTTTGTTTGGTTTGTTTGTTTTTTATTAAATTGCTATCGATTTTAGACACTGTCCCTCAAGATTAGTTTGAGGAATAATATATAAGCCTAAATTGATTTATAAGTAATTAGTTTAGATACACTAACTTTATTTGGTATGGTGAAATCTGGCTGGAAGATGACTTCTTTTGAACAGTTATAGTAAGATTATACATTTATGTGTACTCTGTAAAATATATAAATATCTTTCATCTCATCTGAATCTTGCAACAATCCTCTTCAAGTGGGAGATAAACTTAAATAAAAGAGTTATATGTATTAAAGTTAAAAAAAATTGAGAATCTTTCATTCAACTGAAAATATCTCTTAAAAGTAACTGAATGTCATCGTTTTATATTTGATAGATGTAATCTCTTTTGATTGAAAAAAATCTGGTTTTCCCCCCAAAGTTCTCAATTTAGATTTGATTATTTAAAGTGCTAGAAAATTAAAGTATTTCATTATCTTTTTCCTATACTTTGCCATAGTACTGATAAAACATTTACTATAAAATTGATACCATGAAATACATATGCTACCTCAGTGTTTAATAATTGAAATTAGGTTGTTATAGCTTTGAATCTGTTTCTTCCAGTTTTTCATTGTGGAAATGAATCTTTTTATACCCTCAGTGCCATAGAAAATTTAAGTATTTTATTTAATTTTAGATTAGGTTTGTTTTGTTTGTTTGTTTTGTTTTTCCATTTTTGGAAAATACAGGTCCATAATAATTCTCAAATTCAAAAATCTGAAAACTGAAATTTCTTTGCTAAATTTTCAGCACTCATTTGATGGCAAAACTTATCCTGAACTGATGTGAGGATATTACTTGTCCCACTTAATACGAATATTCATAGCCATTGTAGAGATATTAGTGTGTTTTATAGGGAACCTCCCTGGGAAAATATGTGATAGAAGTTATGTGCTTCATCTTTCTAAAATATGAGCGACTGAATTCTGAAACAGTCTGGCCCCAAAGGTTTCAGATGAGAGAATATTTATGTGTACCAATGTTTATTTGCATAGTTTGTCCTCCTGGTATTTTCCTACTAAAATAGGGGTTTAGCAGAACCAACACCATGGTGGCAACCTTTCAACAGGAGGGAGCAAGATGGAAAAAGGAAATTACATGGGTAAAACTATGAACTATTGTTTGTGAACCCAAAGATCCCACCCTACCCTATCCCAAACTTACTACCATTGGCAGCACATTGATATGAACTTCTGAAGACCTGTGAAGAGTAGCTAAAGGGATAAGTAATATTTAAATGCTGTTCCTTGGACTGTAGACAAATAGAATCATTCACTTTAGGAACACAGGATCACTTCCGGCTGCACTGGAGCATTTATCAGCGTTCTTAAATCTGGACAGCTGACCAGAAAGGCATTTATGTACAGTGCATTTTAAAATTTTTAAAAATACTTTCTTCATGAAACTGAAGTGTTTAAAGCAGGTACTAAGGGCTTTAAATTCCGGGGGTGCCAAAAAAAAGTACACATTTTAAGAGATGTTATCTATATATTACTTTCCGAAGTTGAATTGAAGAACGGTAGCAATGTGTAGTATGACGTTAGCTCAAAAGATGGCGTTCATCAAATGAATGCTAGTGTCACCACGCGACAGGCAGGACATTCAAAGAAAATGGCGGAAGCACGGTTGTTGTTTAAGGAGAGCAAGACCATTTTGAAGTGGTATTTGAAATTCGAGAGTGTTGCGGAAGTATGGCAGTGGAGGTGTGAGTAAGCAGCAGAACCTCCAAGATGCCTAACAATTGCACACATTCGTCATAAGTTTGAGACAAATGGTACTGTGTGAATAGACAAATGGTACTGCGTGAATAGAAATAGAAATGGCATGCACAGCGATACAAGTGGACACTTTGATCAGCGTTACTCAAGCAGTAGTTCGCCGTAATCAGAAGTGTCTGGATGCTCGTGGTAACCACTTTGAGCACCTCTAGTAATTGCAGAAGTCAAACGTGACTTGTATTCATCTTTCGTTATCGGTATATATTATTACAATTTAAATACAATTTTTTCCTTTCTTAAAATGTGTGTACATTTTTTTGGCACCCTCTGTATATACAGGTAAATATAGTAATGCAAATAAAAACACGGTACAGTGGCTGCTTTGTTTGGTTGATTTTTAAACCCTGAAGATTTTAGTCCCCTTGTGCCACTTTTTGTTAAAGGTAGCAGGTCAAAAAAATCTAGACTTGTTTTTAAAATAAAGACAAAGAATAGTTGCTTAGTGGCTTAGATTTAAAAGCAGTGTTGCTCAAGCTTGAATTTACTTTGTGTATTTGTTCAGTTCTTCGATTTCGTTATTTTTAAAACAAAGGCAAAATTATTTATCTTGGGATTTTATTAGATACCCACAAGAAATTGCTGTTGATTAGTCCTTTCTATATTTGTCTTTTATTCTTCAGACAGAAATAGTATTTTAGAAGCCTGTCTATCTATCGGATAAATAGAGGGTGTGTGTGTGTGTGTGTGTGTGTGTGTGTGTGTGTGTGTGTTTGCGTGTGTGTGTTTGCGTGCGCACGCGCACATGCATGCCTGCGCACATTATACATATATACACTACATATATTAGCGATTTCAACATTAAAATAAAATTTACAACAATAAGATGTATAAAAGGACTGTAATATGAGTACATTATTAGCTTGCAAAGAGTCTGACATTTTCCCCTATTTAGCCACTCCCTTTAGAATTCCTTTAGATAGCAAGCCTCCGCAATACATTTAAAATATTATTATATTATTTTTTTTATTATACAGTAGCTCCCCTCCTTATCCGTGGTTTTTCTCTCCATGGTTTCAGTTACCTGAGAGCTGCAGCCTGAAATATTAAAAGGAAAATTCCAGAAATAAACAATTCATAAATTTTAAATTGTGCACTGTTCTGAGCAGCGGGATGAAAACTCGCATTTGGCCTTCTGGTCCATTCCAGGATGCGAATCATCCCTTTGTCCAGGGTATCCATGATCCATGCGCTACCACCTGTCAGTCGTTTAGTAGCCATCTGAGTTATCAGATCTGGTATGGCAGTGCTTATGTTCAGGTCACTCCATTTTACTCAATAATGGCCCCCAAAGTATAACAGTAGTGATGCTGGCAATTCGGATATGCCAGAGAGAAGCCATAAAGTGCTTCCTTTAAGTGACTGAAAAGGTAAACATTCTCAACTAAGGAAAAAAAAATTGTACACTGAGGTTGCTACATCATTCACCTCACTTCATCTCATCACGTAGGCGTTGTATCATCCCCCATCATCACAAGAAGGGTGAGTACAGTAAAATAAGATATTTTGAGAAAGACAACATTCACATTACTTCTATTGCAGTATATTGTTATAATTGTATTTTATTAGATATTGTTAATCTCTTACTGTGCCTAATTTGTAAATTAAACTTTGTCACAGGTCTGCATGTATAGGGAAACACAGTATAATACAGGGTTTGGTACTATCCCCAGTTTCAGGCTTCCACTGGGGGTTTGGAACATATCCTCCACAGTTAAGGGGGTCTACTGTATTACATTATTCTTATCAGAATTCAGTTAACCACATATACAGATATTTTTTTCATCAAAGACTAAATGCCTATAATAAAATCTTCTGTAAGGTAATTAAAGTTTGGATTAATAAAGGATCCATTTGTTTATTCCCCAAGCATTCAGAAGCTATTTTCAGTGTTCCGGTCCAGAAACTTCAGAGGTGTGTAGTTGTTGCCTCCTAAAGGTTCAGCACACAAGGAAATAGATCATTGAAGCGTAGTGGCAGCCAGTGAAGGAGTAAACATAAATGCTGGAAGCCTCTAGGAAGAGGTCCTTGATTCTGCCAGTAGAAACTGGGAAAGGTTTTCTGAAAGCGGTGCTGTCTGAACTGAGGGAGGGAGAAAAGCATGTAGAAAAGTACAGCCAAGAGACCCTCAGTGAATTGCAAGTACCATCCCACGCTGCTTTACAATGGGGACATGTTCTGAGAAGTGCGTTATTAGGCCATTTGGTCCTTGTGTGAACATCACAGAGTGTACTTACACAAACCTAAATGATATAGCCTACTTTGCACCTAGACTATATGACATCGCCTGTTGCTCCTAGGCTACAAGCCTGTACAGCATGTTCTGTACCAAAGAACATGAGATTAAATCAGCGACAGTAGAGAATGATGCAATCAAGAGATGGTAAACACAAGATGCATGAGGCTGCTGCCGACATAACATGGCATACTTTTTTGTGTGTGTGAGCAGAAAGAGTAATATAACAATAAAAAGTCTAGTGTAGTAAAGACATAAACCAGTAACATAGTCGTGTGTTATCATTATCAAGTATTATGGACTGTACATAATTCTCTGTGCTATACTTTTATACGACTGGCATGTTTATACCAGCATGACCACAGACGTGAATAATGTGTGCACTGCGACATTACAACAGCTACAACGTCATTAGGAGATAGGAATTTTCAGCTCCATTCTAATCTCACAGGACTGCCATCACATAGTCATTAGGTCCTTCGTTGACCAAAATGTCTTTACACGGCTCATGACTAGTTTTAGCATAAATAGGAGAGGATGTGGTATTGGTGGATAATGGGATGTGAAACGGGGAGGGTTGATACAGGCCACCAGATAAGGGCCTTGAATACCAAGATAAGGAATTTGTTCTTTTATTCTGTACAAATGCACTTCCCAAACTGATTCCCGATGGAGTAAAATTAGTTTGGAGACACACAGCATGTTAGCATACAGCTCGGGAGAAGCTCATTAAAAAAACTGTTTACCTTTTTTGATGAAAAGTTTCCCAAACTTGTTTGGTTATGAAACTAGTTTTTGTTTGGATACAAATTAACTTTAAAGTTACTTATTAAATTTTGAAGGCTTTTTTAAGTTCATTTTTCAATTGCAGTTGACTTACAATATTAGTTTTAGGTGTGTAACATAGTGATTAAACATTTATATACTTTACAAAGTGATTCTCCCCAGTAAGTCTAGTACCCACCTGGCGCCGTACATAGTTATTACAATGTTGTTCACTGTATTCCCTATGCTGTACTTTACATCCCATGACTGTTTTAATAACTGGAAAATTTGAAGGATTTTGAACAAGGGAGTGATGAGATTGGCATTTGTAAAAGGAGAATAATTAGAGGCAGGGAAACCTGTTTGGCTTAGATGTGTTAAATAATGTTTGTTGCATATTAAAAGTAAAATATTCAGATTAAGAGCTAAAGACTAAAATTTTAAATTAAAATAGTTTCTTCATTAAATATTTTGAGAAAAGCTTGGTTTGAACTTTTTGTGTTTATTAAAACAGTATATGCATAGCATTTAAAAAGGCAAATAGTTTTATAAGCCTTAATTCCTAAGTCCCCTTCCACATGTCATTTCTTCCAGCTCATTTTTTGACTAAGGAAACCAAGTACTTTAGCTGTTTGCCTCTGTATATCTAAGTCACATGACTATAGTGCTTTTTAATTTTGTTATTAATGTAAAGCATTTGTATTGACTTCTCATTACGGATGATAAGGATTTAGCACTTCCACAGACACACACACCATTTTCACCCCTGTGTGCATTCACGCACATGACCTATCCTGTCACTCTTCAGTAATTTTGGATCTATCGATAGAGTCCTTACCATGCTTGTCAGTCAGTGCTATGCCAAACTGAGACATGAGGCCTGCTGTAATTTTATTTCCTTGCACAACTTTTTGTATTCCCTGTAAATTGTTTTTTTCCATTCACTTTCTTTTTAATTTTATTTATTTATTTTTGCTTAGTATTTCGATGTGCTTAACACTAATTCATCGCCAAATTTTCCTTTCACTGCATCAGAGGCATCTGGCACTTTTACCAGTTTCACCTTAGACCTCTCCCACGTCTCCTGAACATGCTTTCATCTGGACTCACCTGCTAGGCCTGCTATACAACTGTCTTGTTTTTCTCCGTTCCTGAGGATTTCCTTTACCTCTCTCTTATGTTGACTCTTGTATTTCCTGTATTCCTTGCAATTGTCTTTTGGGGTTTACTCCCTCATGTAGTAGAGCCATCTCCTCCAATAGCTTCCTGAGAAACGGGTTTTGAGAGTTAAACTTTCATAACTTTTATGACTGAAATCTCCATCCTCTCCTCTCTCTTGATTCTTAATCTGACTTGGTATAAAAATCTAGATTGGACATTGTTTTCACTTGGAATTTTGAATTTGTTCCTCTATTTTTACATACCATTTTGAATTTTGAACCTCTTGGGGTTTTGGTGGGTTTTTTCCTTCTTCCTAGAGGTATGTAAGTCTTTACTTTGTTTTTTGTCCTCTGAATGTCATGATAATTTGTCTTAGAGCAGCTTTTTACTATGAAAACTCATTTTCTTCAATTTTGTGAAATTTTTTTTGTACTAGTCATATTTCCTCTCCATTGTTTCTTCTTGTGGCATGTTCCCCTGATTTTTGTATTTAAGAGTTGTTTTCGGTTCTCTGAGTTTTTGTTCTTATTTTAGCATCCTGTTCCTTACTTCATTGATGTACTTTTTACCTTTCTAAAGATTTGATTTTGTTTTTCTTTTTTTTAATGAGCTTTTGTCTCTCTGCAGAGTCTGTCTCCATTCTCCCCTTGGTTAATCTGTCTTTCTGGTTAGTGTTTTCCTCAGAAGTCAGATGATTCTTGGTTATCTCTGCCTTTTTGCTGGTGTAAAGCTGGAAATGGAAAGCCTTTGGCCTGTAGGTGGGATCTGTCAACCAGAAGCTTCTCAGTAAAGAGATCTGGCTTGGCCATTTCACTTCCTGAATTGCAGTATTTTTAGCTCTTTCTCTTAAAATGATCAGATTTCCGAGAAAAGAATCTTCAAATATGCTACCTGGAGAGCAATCCTCTATATTGGCATACTGGGAAACAGGTAGAGAGAGAAAGAAAGGTGGTAGTCTCAACATTCATTAAACAGTTACTTTTAACCCCCTTTTTTTCAATATAGCACCCCTATATTCAACAGTGCTTGGTACCCTTCAGTCTAGATATTGTGTTACACTCCCTCTAGTAACTTAGCAGGCACTCTTCTGCCATGTCAGAGGGAGTGTAAGATTGCATGAATTTGGAAGGGGCTCAGGATCGAGCTGCCTTTTCAATTTGTTATTAACGTATAACACACATACAGAAAGGTGCCTAAGTCATGGCTACACAACTGAGTGGATTATCACAGTAAACAGACATGTTCTGTACCAGGCAAGAAATAGAATATGACCTATACCCCAGACACCTCAATCACTCCCTTCTAACTGGCGCCCTGTCTGTCTGCAAAGATCATCAGTATTTTGAAGATGACTTTTGTTTCCGAACTTTGTACATAAGAATCACGTATTACGTATTATATTGAGTCCATCTTCTTTTATTCATCATTATGCTTGTGAGACTCATCTATGTTGTTGTATATAGCTAGTTCACTCATTTTTATTAGTCCATAACTTATTAACCCATCCCATTCTACTGTTGACGGACATTGTTGTTCTTAGTTTGGACCTTCTGAAGTACTTCTTCAGTGTCTTTGGTAGACTTTCAAGAAATCTTCCTGTTTTTATTCACAGCTTCACCCCTACAGCCTGTGCTGCCTGGTGCTGCCAAGTCCTGAGCCGTATATACAAGAGCTCTGTAATGCAAAAAGGCGACTTCTCTACTTTCCCTACTTTTGGGTTAGGATTCAATTTTCTGCAGGCGGGGGGCGGGGGGGGGGTCTCTCACATTAATTACTATTTGGTTATCTGCTTTCCAACCTCTTAAGATTTTCTTGGAGTATCTCCTTTCCCACTAACTTTGTCTTTGTGAGTTTTTGGTTTTTTACCTATCTTTCTGTGTGACTTTTGGAAGGAACGAGGGTAATGCCTGTATCCATTCTTCTTTTTTAAAAAAAAAAACCCAATTTGAACTTTATTTTCAATGCCTCATTCCTTATGTTTTATTTTTCCTAACGTAGAATGCCTTTCTGAGAGTGATATCTTAGAATAATAATGTTACCTTCCTGGACAGTAAATTTAAGTCAGTGATTTTTTTTAATTCTAATGATAAATTTTTTGCTTTTTACTTGAGTATTGTCCTTTTGAATATTGAAAACTTACCTGTTAGATATCTAGTCTAATTCACAGAATTTTTTTAATAGGGCATCGCTGGAACTGACGTAGCTAAAGAAGCATCTGATATTATTCTCACAGATGACAACTTTACAAGCATTGTTAAAGCTGTTATGTGGGGACGAAATGTCTATGACAGCATCTCCAAATTCCTGCAGTTCCAGCTCACTGTTAACGTAGTAGCAGTGATCGTTGCTTTCACAGGCGCCTGCATTACTCAAGTAGGTTGACAGTTTGTTTCTTAAAAGTTGTTCACTGTAAAGCGAGTATGTGTAGAATATGCCTTTTTAAACTACTTAAATATTTAAATCAGCTGGAGCTTACTGTGTTAGGTTCATTAATATAAAAATGCCCTCCTGTTCTGTTCTTGAAGTTCTTAAATACAAAAGGCTTCCTGAGAACTGCTGAGTCCCTGAAGAGCTGTGAATGTCTATTAGGAAACCTGTCTTTTCTAGGATTCACCGCTTAAAGCTGTGCAGATGCTGTGGGTAAACCTCATAATGGATACGCTCGCTTCCCTGGCTCTGGCAACTGAACCCCCCACCGAATCTCTCTTGCTTCGGAAACCTTACGGTAGAAATAAGCCTCTCATCTCACGCACGATGATGAAGAATATTTTGGGTCATGCATTCTATCAACTTGTAGTAGTCTTTACACTCTTGTTTGCTGGTAAGAATTCAGTGCCTGGTAAAGCTAATGTCTCAGATGTTTTAATGTTACCAATTTTTCAAGGATGCAAGTTATTCTCTGTCTGACTCCTTCCTCATTTACCTTTAATTTCTCCTCTGTATCAATGGATGCTTAGTAAATATGGGGAGGCAGTATGGTCGATAGTGGGGGAAAGTAAGGAGAGTCCTGATTTCCTGTCCTGGCTCTGATAAGAACTCAGATAAGAGGTCTTAAGCATGTCACCATAGTTTGGGGCGTCTTCACTTTCCTCATCTTAGAAGACAAGAGAGAAAACTAGATAAATCCAGGTCCCTTCCAACTCTTTCTGTGCTATAATTTTGGCTCAAATAAAAGTCTGGCTGGTTTTGTTACTGCATAACTCTTTGAACATATGAAATTATTTTGTATGATAATTACAAAATAGTAATTTTTCACTCTTTCAGGAGAAAAGTTTTTTGATATTGACAGTGGAAGAAATGCTCCTTTGCATGCTCCTCCATCCGAACATTACACCATTGTTTTTAACACCTTTGTGCTGATGCAACTTTTCAACGAAATAAATGCCCGGAAAATTCATGGTGAAAGAAATGTGTTTGAAGGAATCTTTAATAATGCCATCTTCTGCACAATTGTTTTAGGCACTTTTGTGGTACAGGTGGGTAATTGAAGAAGACTGTGTCAAATTTGATGATTATGTGGGAGATATTAGGTAAACAGATGGCTTGTTCCAGAAATTACTTGACTGCAATGTGTAGGGCTTCTGCATATTACCTTGGTGACATTTAAAAAAGAGTTTTAAATATCATAACTTATGGGAAAATGTGCCCTATCCTGAAATTCTACAAGTGAGAAGAGTTTGTTAAGCTAATACCACTTTAATTACACTACGGGTTCTGTAGTTGTGATGTTTCACATTCACTCTGATGCTGATTCATTCTACATCATTGGTATCAAAACTGTTATTTTAATATTTAACGTAAATCTTACAGTTTACCACTTTCTGAGCTATCTAAAGTGATCCCCCTTTTTTTCAATATAGCACCCCTATATTCAACAGTGCTTGGTACCCTTCAGTCTAGATATTGTGTTACACTCCCTCTAGTAACTTAGCAGGNTCTTTGTGAGTTTTTGGTTTTTTACCTATCTTTCTGTGTGACTTTTGGAAGGAACGAGGGTAATGCCTGTATCCATTCTTCTTTTTTAAAAAAAAAAACCCAATTTGAACTTTATTTTCAATGCCTCATTCCTTATGTTTTATTTTTCCTAACGTAGAATGCCTTTCTGAGAGTGATATCTTAGAATAATAATGTTACCTTCCTGGACAGTAAATTTAAGTCAGTGATTTTTTTTAATTCTAATGATAAATTTTTTGCTTTTTACTTGAGTATTGTCCTTTTGAATATTGAAAACTTACCTGTTAGATATCTAGTCTAATTCACAGAATTTTTTTAATAGGGCATCGCTGGAACTGACGTAGCTAAAGAAGCATCTGATATTATTCTCACAGATGACAACTTTACAAGCATTGTTAAAGCTGTTATGTGGGGACGAAATGTCTATGACAGCATCTCCAAATTCCTGCAGTTCCAGCTCACTGTTAACGTAGTAGCAGTGATCGTTGCTTTCACAGGCGCCTGCATTACTCAAGTAGGTTGACAGTTTGTTTCTTAAAAGTTGTTCACTGTAAAGCGAGTATGTGTAGAATATGCCTTTTTAAACTACTTAAATATTTAAATCAGCTGGAGCTTACTGTGTTAGGTTCATTAATATAAAAATGCCCTCCTGTTCTGTTCTTGAAGTTCTTAAATACAAAAGGCTTCCTGAGAACTGCTGAGTCCCTGAAGAGCTGTGAATGTCTATTAGGAAACCTGTCTTTTCTAGGATTCACCGCTTAAAGCTGTGCAGATGCTGTGGGTAAACCTCATAATGGATACGCTCGCTTCCCTGGCTCTGGCAACTGAACCCCCCACCGAATCTCTCTTGCTTCGGAAACCTTACGGTAGAAATAAGCCTCTCATCTCACGCACGATGATGAAGAATATTTTGGGTCATGCATTCTATCAACTTGTAGTAGTCTTTACACTCTTGTTTGCTGGTAAGAATTCAGTGCCTGGTAAAGCTAATGTCTCAGATGTTTTAATGTTACCAATTTTTCAAGGATGCAAGTTATTCTCTGTCTGACTCCTTCCTCATTTACCTTTAATTTCTCCTCTGTATCAATGGATGCTTAGTAAATATGGGGAGGCAGTATGGTCGATAGTGGGGGAAAGTAAGGAGAGTCCTGATTTCCTGTCCTGGCTCTGATAAGAACTCAGATAAGAGGTCTTAAGCATGTCACCATAGTTTGGGGCGTCTTCACTTTCCTCATCTTAGAAGACAAGAGAGAAAACTAGATAAATCCAGGTCCCTTCCAACTCTTTCTGTGCTATAATTTTGGCTCAAATAAAAGTCTGGCTGGTTTTGTTACTGCATAACTCTTTGAACATATGAAATTATTTTGTATGATAATTACAAAATAGTAATTTTTCACTCTTTCAGGAGAAAAGTTTTTTGATATTGACAGTGGAAGAAATGCTCCTTTGCATGCTCCTCCATCCGAACATTACACCATTGTTTTTAACACCTTTGTGCTGATGCAACTTTTCAACGAAATAAATGCCCGGAAAATTCATGGTGAAAGAAATGTGTTTGAAGGAATCTTTAATAATGCCATCTTCTGCACAATTGTTTTAGGCACTTTTGTGGTACAGGTGGGTAATTGAAGAAGACTGTGTCAAATTTGATGATTATGTGGGAGATATTAGGTAAACAGATGGCTTGTTCCAGAAATTACTTGACTGCAATGTGTAGGGCTTCTGCATATTACCTTGGTGACATTTAAAAAAGAGTTTTAAATATCATAACTTATGGGAAAATGTGCCCTATCCTGAAATTCTACAAGTGAGAAGAGTTTGTTAAGCTAATACCACTTTAATTACACTACGGGTTCTGTAGTTGTGATGTTTCACATTCACTCTGATGCTGATTCATTCTACATCATTGGTATCAAAACTGTTATTTTAATATTTAACGTAAATCTTACAGTTTACCACTTTCTGAGCTATCTAAAGTGATCACTTAGTTGCTTCTAACAATTAATAGCAGTTGTATTTCTACAGTTGAGTTTATTACTAAATAATTAAAGGTTTTGAAATGAATATTGTAAATTACATGTGATTCTGAATGGCTGCATTCTGAGTTCGTACGTGTCAGTTTTTCATTGTGTAATATTGTCAGAACAAAGCAGAAAAGGGATGGAGGATGGGGTGTGAGGAGTGGGATTGGGAATGATTAGAAAGACTGGAAATTTTCCCATTTTTATAGAGGTCATTCTAAGAACAAAATGAAGGATCACTTTGTATATGGTGATTTTATATAACAATACTCTACCTATGTTTTTATATCATCTTGAGTTCTGTGATACTCTTCTGTGCAAATGACTGTATAGTAGAATCTGTAATCAAAATAGGTAAATGAATGGTACATAATCATATCAGGAAGTCAGTAAACATAATAAGATTTCAAATTAAAAATTGAGCTATTTCAGCAGTGAATCAGTGATGGTCCTTGTTTCAAAATGAAGATCTAGAATTTTAAACAGTTTATTCAGCCGATAACTTACGCACTGTGAATACAGAAGCTCAAAACCCTAGGCTTAATGATTTCTGTAAAAATGATTTCTGCTTGATCTTTCAATTTATCTATAAATTTTTGGAGACATGTTGCTTACTTGTTATATAGTTTCTGAAAATATTTTATTTAGATTTTATAAAAATCATTTTTCAGGACATGCGGAAACGGTAGCTTTTACTTGTTACAAAATTAGGTTTACTTTATCGATTTTTAGTATATGGGGATTGCCAAAATTTAACTACCTATGTCTGTATCAAGCAAATCTGGTAACTCAGTTCCCAACAAAGGGATATCCCTAACATTCTTCATTGCCTTATAAATAAGCCATTGCTGTTCCAAGTGTGGCCTATGGGCCAACTACTGGTCCACAGCCACTTTATCACAAGTCCACAGTGAGATAAGCAGCACGTGCCAGAGCGTAAATCAACAGCTTCACTGATTTCACTGTGTATTTCAGATTAGGGGTTTTTGTGTGGATGCGGAGGGGGGCAGGGGGGTGTTTTTGGTTTTAGTGGTAATAGCAGCAGTCTTGTGCAGACAGGACACTGATTTGCACTCCAGTGTGTGTTCCTGAGCCTCTTGTCAGGGATTAGCACTTCGAATAGGTCAGCTGGGTAGGAACACATGACCCTTGATTTACACATGTCTCATTTTGTTTGTTTCTAAAACAGTCTAGCCAGAGCCTTGATTATAGATTTGAAGTACCTGAAGGAATTCACCTTATAAATTGTATTAAATTTAATTTCTGTCCCGTTATTTACTAGCTGATTCTTATTTTTACCTTTTTTTTTTTTTTGACAGACCATGAAGTACGGAACAATCCTTAACTCTTTGTAAACATTTTCAGTTTCTTTTCTACTTTATAGCAGTTAATATAGAATCAGTGTTTTCAAAATATGTTCCATGAAACACTTGTCTTTTGAGTTGTTCTTACATCCTCAATAAGTTTAGGAACTGTTACCTGTTATACTTATCTCTTGGAGATTCTTAAAGCCATACATAACATAATACTTAGGAGTATGAATTTAGGAGCCAGTCCCGGGGTCAGATCAGGATGCTGCCTCAGTAGTTGTGTGATCTTGACAAGCTACAATTTCTTCATCTGTGAAATGGGGATAATACTGTGAGGTCACGTCATAGAATTTACGAAGCATTAACAGTACACATGAGCTCTGAGCTTAGTGCCTAGAAGGAAACACTTAAAATGTCAGCTGTTTCTTTTTGTAAATTAACAACTCAAAGTCTTTGGGAAATCCTTTAGTTAGTAAACCTGTCTAACTTGATTTAATTCAGCCCCTTGTAAATTTAGAAGACACCAGGTAATACTAGGTTCCCTAAGCACACATTTAGGAAACACTTAAGTACACAATCCTATAGTATGTTGATCTAAGCAGTACATTAAAGAATGTGGAAACTTACTTTCTTATTTTTAGAAGTATATTCTACAACTAGTTTTATTCCAATTGTAAAATGAAGGACTATTATTTCTTATGAAGGTAAATCAATCAGTCATATTAATCAGTTTCCCCAGCTTCTTAATATCCTTTTCACATCCCTCATTATACTCAAAAACTTTTTAAAAGGTAACGTTTAAATTTTTTTAAAAATTCAAAACACACAAATGTTGAGTTTTTTTAATGCTTATTTTCTTGGTTTAAAAAGAAAATTATTTGTTTGATATCTATTAAAATCCAAGTGAGATTGCCAAATCAGTTATAATCAACTGGTTGGGCTACTAAAAGAAAAAGAAAAAATTGGGAATCCATCTGTACAAGTGCACAAATAATCTTGACTTTGAAGGGCAGTGGAATTGATAAATATGTATCATTTGAATTTGGAATAAAGTACAGCTACAAAGAATGGAGTTCATAACTTTAAAATACAAAGTTTAAAAATGTTAATCCAAAGTGATTCTTTTTAATTTTAGTATTTGGCAGCTACTAACTGCCATATCAAAAAGAGGCTTCTCAGACACACAAGAGGGTGAATATTGTTATTTAACACCTATATTCCCATATACACTGTTGTGGTTTCTTTAAAATAAGGAGGGAAACATAAGCACTGTATTATGGATTTTATTTATGCAGATCATTGGACTTCCCTCTTTATAAGGGAGAGCAAATTTGTGAGGGTATTCCACCTGAGTTAGCACCTATTTCCGAGAATTTTGCAAGCTGCTAGAGTCCATTTATGTTTGCTCTAACATCTAATTGTTAACTAGGAATGAATAGCTATGTAGAAGGAAAACAGAAAGAATTAAATATTATGTCAATTTTTCCATAATATGCAGTCTTTTCCACAAAAGTACTATCTTTTGTAGAAAGGCATAAATTATTAGAGTTATACTAAAGACAGAGGAATATAGTTACTTGAGATTGTATTGGAAACCTTATAAAGTTATCTTCTTGATCATGAGAATTGTTGGGGTTTTTTTAAGCAGAATTTAAATGTGACATATACCTGTATTTAAAAGTTTGGACAGAGAGATTTTACTTTATTTCACTTGTCTTATTTTCAGCTGTGAATATTATACATGTCATCATCAGAATAATGGTTGTTCAGCTTGCGTTTTAGAGGACACAAAATTTGGGTAATTTTTGAAGTGTATGAATTGTAAAATTTAAAAGATTTAAATACATTTACTCTTGATTATTCCTCCAGATAATAATTGTGCAGTTTGGTGGAAAACCTTTCAGTTGTTCAGAACTTTCAGTAGAACAGTGGCTATGGTCAATATTCCTAGGAATGGGAACGTTACTCTGGGGCCAGGTAAAAAGATCATTTTTTGTTCAAACCTTAACTGATTTTTTTTCTTCTTTTTTTTAATTTCTAGTGTGTATTTTCTCTAAGCAGTTCTGTTACTTGATTCTGAGTAGTTACTATTCCAGGTAAAAAAGGGCACAGGATATCGTTTTTTAAAATGTAGTGTTCTATTATGTCACTTGCTGTTTATTGTGATTATGCCTAATTTATAATAAAACACTAAGTTTTTTACATAGTTTTTTAGAAAAAGTTTTACAACAGTATTAAGATAATGCATTCATAACTGGCTAGGATACTAACATCTGTATCTTTGGCTCTATGACCTAGTTTTTTATTTCTAGAATAAATACTTATGCAAAAATATAAAATATTATATACTTTAGACTTTCTGTCATGTTTGTTATGTAATTTAATCCAGAATGCACGTAAGAAACATCTTAAGTTTCAGTTCACATAGAGAATCTTTCCATAAAAATAATGGGATCTGGGAAAATGGGCCATAAAATGACATTTTAGATTATTTGCATTGAATGGCTTTAACCGTTATATATAAATACAATGCCTGAAAAATGAGATATACCTCATTTTTATTGTAGGCAGTGGACTTGAAAATGCATGTCATTATTTATTTTTAAATAGTGGTAATGGTGTGTGCATGGTTCAATTTAATTCCATTACCATTACTATAAAACTTAACTGATAGAGAATCTATACTAACATTTTCATAAATGAAGGTTAACATATGTTATGGTGTGTAACTTGTGTGAACTATGTCAGTCAAACCAAATGTCCAGGTTTTTCTTAAACTCAACCTTTATGGACCTTTTATCTCACTTTTTTTTAAATTGTGTTTCTAGGTTCTAAGGTTTCTTTTCTTACTCATGTTTACTCATTTTGAATACCTCATTAATAGACACCATCTTTTAAGGAGGATCCATACTTGGTCCACCTTTCTTTTTTGATTACCATTCTAATTTCATAGTGTTCTCTCATGGGCAGAACAAAACCCCACAACCTTCCCCCAAAATCTGGCTAATTTCGGGAAGAGGAAATTTAATACAGTATACATACCCAACAGGCATCAGTTACCATCTTTGGTTGACGTCATCTACTGAATTAAAGTGTGCCATGGTAGAAAGAACACTGATTTTCGTGGTCAGAAGACCTAGGGTCTTAGTCACGCCGTGAACAAGTCTCCTCGTGTCTCTGAGGCTGTTTCACCTCTGCAATGAGGTGGTTGGACTAGAAGTTCTGTTAGCAGTTCTGGTTCTGACTGCGTGCTTGTTTCCCCTGATAAGCTCGACTTCCTTAAGGAATGGCTGTTAACACGTATAAGTTAATACACTTGTTGGTGTTTTTTGTATTCTTTATGTTTTCTGGGGGCATTGGTGTCATTATCAATCAGTGTTAATCCAATTTTAAATGGTTGCATTTTATGAAAATGAATAAATTTAATAAACAAAACACTGTTTTCAGTTTAATATTGAAGATTTTTGGAATTTTGGTATTTTCTCATTGAATTCTTACAGCATTAATGAAATATGAACTTGTTTTGCATTTAATTAAGACCACCTGCTGTTTTTATTTTATTTGAAATAAATATAATTAGTACGAGTTTAAGTAAATAATGTACATCAGAGCATGGTTTTATAGTTTACTGTCTTGAATGTCCTAAATAAAATATAAAATGTAATCAGGTTATTTCCATTCAGGAAAACTTTGTACCCTTCAAACTTAAATCTTCTGTGTAGCTAAGAGCAGAATATTTTTTGTTCTAAAAAAGAAAGCCTCTGATGGACAGGCTGTCACTGCTTCATTGGTAGAGATAATTGGTTAAGTTTGCACCTTTTCACATCCTTTGTATTAAAGTTGATCGGTTTAATTGTACTTGATATGCTTTCTTTCTAAGTCCTTTCCCCTGTGTTGTAGCTTATTTCAACAATTCCAACTAGCCGTTTAAAATTCCTAAAAGAAGCTGGTCATGGAACACAAAAGGAAGAAATACCTGAGGAGGAGTTAGCAGAGGACGTGGAAGAGATTGATCATGCTGAAAGGGAGTTGCGGCGTGGCCAGATCCTGTGGTTTAGAGGTCTGAACAGAATCCAGACACAGGTATGGGTCTGGAGAGAGGTAGGAGATGTGATGGGAGCGGGAGTCAGCCACGGGCTTTTGGACCTGGGGAGGAGGTTTGAGCGCACTCCTTCACTTCCTTTCTAGCTTTCCCAACCCACAGAGCTTACTCCTTTGAAAAATAAAACTGGTGCCTGGAATGAGTGAAAGTTTTAACTGATGGTGAAAGAATGTTGTCTATATGCCCCTATAAGCTCCTTTTCTCCTAGATTCCTCCCCCCCCCCATCACAAAATGCTACTCTTGCCTGTTAATCTGCTCTGTAAAAAGTGCCTTTTTTCTTTACTTTTTATACTCGTATGTTGATAGATGGAATGGTCCTTTCTCTTGTTCTCTCTCTCTCTTGCTGAGCAAGCTGTCACAATCTCTGATTCCTTGCAGATGGATGTAGTGAATGCTTTCCAGAGTGGAAGTTCCATTCAGGGGGCTCTAAGGCGGCAACCCTCCATCGCCAGCCAGCATCATGATGTAACAAATATTTCTACCCCTACACATGTAGTGTTTTCCTCTTCTACTGCTTCTACTACTGTGGGGTGTGAGTGTGTGTTCCTAAGTGCATGAAATTAACATTTCCTACTTCACACCTAACGTTTCTCATTTTCTCCTTAATGTTTAAATTCATTGTTCAGGCTTTTCATAAAGCTTTCTTTTCGTAAAGTGGATTGAGACCTCAAAGTGTTGTCATTGTTGTTGTTTTATTTCTTAGAGGGCTAGATAACAGGTGGAACAATTGCACCCAAAGATTAGATATGACATCTGTGAGTTTGTCTCTATGCTAACTCTGATAGTTAATATGGGGAAGAAAATTGTAGCTTAGAATTTGTGAAACTACTATAGATTTTTGAGTATATGCCTTTAAACATGTTCATACTGCATGGTGCTCAGAAATGTGTCATTTGAAATTGATCAGGCAGAACCAAGAAATTGTGTTTTTAAAGCTAAAAAATGAATTTAGCATTTTGACTTGCATCTTGTTGAGACTGGAAAGTAAGATAGTAAGTACCCTGAAGAAAAGCTCTTAACGTATGGCCAGTTGTTTGCCTTCTTGGCCTAGACTTTGTGGCCTTGTTTTGGGGTGTTTTTTATTGAGGGAGAAGGGTCTCTGTATATAAGCTGCATAGTTCTGTGGTATTTTTGGTGTTGTTGTTTTTTTTCATTTGTATAATCAATTTAGTTTAAATCGCATCCTTCATAAGAAATGGTCTGTTATCTTAAGTTTTCTAAGGAAGTAGGGAAAGTGTACTGTTGATTAATTATTGAACCGTTTCATGTCATACTTTCCATTAATTGACTAGAATAAAAGATTTCCTTTCAGATGTTTAGTAAATGGCAAACTCCCCAAAAGCCTTATAACCTCTATCATCCTTACTGTGAATTAGGAGCTTGATTTCATGGTGGGTTTTTAGTATATTGGAGGGACTTAAAGGTGTCAGCCCACTCACCTCCACCCCAACATCAGCTGAGATACTCCAAGGTTAAAATGTATTTGAGCAGAGACCTTTGCCATTTGGACGGCAGCCAGTTAATGGTTAAAGGAACCTTGGGAAGCTGGACAGAGGGTAAACTGAGGGAGAAAACAATGCTGTTTTAAGGAGGACTGTTTAGTCAGTGCCTTTTTGTTCACCGTTTGCTTAAGTAATTTTCATGTGTTATTTTTTACCGTGTTGTAAAACAGGCAGAACAGGAACTCGCCCCCATTTTACAGGTGTGAGAACCGACTTGGAGGTGAAACGACTTGTCCGTGGCTGATAGGCAGAGGCAGCATGGCAGAGGAAAGAGCAGACAAGTGCTTTAAGGATACACTGACCCCGTAATGCTAGACAGGATGTTAAAGTTACATACGTGAAAAGATAGAAATCTGCCTTTTAAAAATTACCCGGATACTGCCTACCTGAATGAAATGGTACATGTAAATTTCCGGCCTTACACCTGGGACAGCTAATGTCAATTGTGTCCCTCCCTCCCTGTCTCCGTGGATTTTGTGGCCCTTGAGGGCTTATTACCACTCATGCCTCCATCTCCTGCTATTAGTATTTCTTTAGTTGTGTTCCATAAACACTTGTGGACAGCCTACCGTATGCCAGGGCTGTGCGAGAACCTCAAAACCTTGCAGCATAGTGAGGGGAAAAAACTAGTAGTTGGGAAATTCTGCTTGGTAGTAAAACACAGAATATTATAACAGGGTCCTTAACATGCCCTGAAAAGTCAGGAAAAACTACTGGAAGGAAATGACTCCTTAGCTGACTCCTGATAGAATTCATCAGTTGAAGAAAGTGGGCTTCAGCGACATAGTTTGGTACTAAAAATGAGTAATAAAATATAAGAAGTTATGAGGCCGGATGGAAGATGAGAACCTGTTTATATCCTATAAGAAGGATCCAAAATGAGACTTGATATTGAATGATGAATACATGAATAATACCCTTTACCACTCCTTAATATTTTACGACACCTGCTTTATTTATCTTTATAATAATCTATACTTTTTTCAGCCATTTGAAAGTAAGTGGCAGATATCATGACATTTCATCTCTGAATACTTCAGCGTATACCTCTTAAGAAAAAGAAGTCTCCTATATAATCATACTGTTATCACATCTAAGAATTTTAACACTGCTACCATTTACTCTAATATACAGTCCATAGTCAGATTTCTCCATTGTCCCCCAAAGTGCTCTTTATAGCTGTTTTGCTCCAGAATCTAAGAAAGGATCGTCGACAGTATGTGTTAGGACTCTGGTCTCTTACCCTGGATCCATTTTCTCTACCTTTATTTTTCAGGACATTAACTTTTTTTTAAGAATCTAAGCCAATGGTCTTATAAAGTATCCTACATTCTGGATTTCTTTGATGGTTTCCTCATGGTTGTTTTCCTGGTAAACTTTTCTGACAAGTTTATCTCCTGGGTGACATGTATTCTAGTTATTTTTATTTCAGCAAAATTTTAAATAGTTGAGACTTTTCATTTGGAGGGGTGTCACGTGACCGCAGGTAGACTCTATTTCTCTGTACAATTGTGTTTCAGGCTTTATAAGAAGTATCAGATCAGTCACCAACTCTGTTTTACACAAAGACATACCTGCCCACACCTGTCCCAGGCTCTTTTCTGAAGCACAACTGTACATGGGACCTCTTGAGTTGCTGGCCCCACGTGGCCACGGTGATAGAGTGGTGAGGGCAGGAGTGTAGTGGTTGCTTCACCATGGTTTGAGATGGTTATTTCTTTATTCTCTATTCTGCGTTCTTAGAGTATAAGGAGGTATTGAGGGCTGATGCATATCTCATTCATGGGGATATCATTATACACTAACAGTTGCAGTAATTGTTACCACAAATTTCTTTCAACCTTGCTGGTGAAACCTTGTCTTAGGTGGTACAGAACATACGCCAATATATAGAATTAATTAGTAGTGTTAGTAGTGTGATGAAAGGTTTGATTTCGTCACTGTGTTCCTGCCCTAATACACTAGAATAGTTTTAGAAATATTATTAGGAGTCTTTGCTAAATGAAAGAAATAATAACCCATTTCAACTTTGTCGTATACTAGGCTTGAAACATCTCTGGAGTGATCACCTTTTTTCTCTCATTGATTAGATCTTTACTCCTGAAGATCTCCAGAGAAAACATTCTGTAGTTTTTCTTTCTTAATGAAGTATATCATTCAATATCAGTGTTCACCACTGGGAAATTCTTTTGCTGAATTAATAGTTAAACCTTCCTGGGAAGGAGAAATTGAAAGAAAATTTAGTCTTCTAGGTGAAGGGTGAGCAAACTGTATCCTGTGAGCCAGATCTGTCCTGTTGCCTGTTTTTTGAAAGTAGATTTTTGTTGGAACGGAGTCATGCACCTTCATGGAAGTACCGTCCATGGTACTTCCTGCACTCTGCTGGCAGAGCCGAGTAGTTGGATCAAAGACTGTGTGGCTCACAGAACCTGTATTTTACTCTCTGGTTCCCTACAGAAAATGTTTGCCAACTTCTGTTCCAGATGAGTAAAACATTGCACATAGCACATGTGGTCTTCCTTTGAGAAAATGCGATGAGCAAATACCCAACTTGGGAAAACAACCTAGGATTTTCTTTCTTGGTGCATAGTATCTTTTGTTTTACCAGTGCAACTCTTTAAGTTAGTGTACCTAGTTAAAACTAAGGACGAATACCAGTTTAAGAAATGGGTACTCTGTTGTAGGTTAGCTATATCAGCTAGTGACTAAAATTGTCTTACATTTTTGAGCTGCCCTTGGATACCATCTTTTGGGCAATAGTATTGTTATTTTCTGCTGCCAACAGTTAGGGTTGTATTTAGGAGAATGGATGGTTTAGCACGGTACATGATTTTGTTTTGATGTGTTATTTAAATCTAAAGTATTGTTTGCCTTGATAATCATTTTCAGTTTCTTATAATTTCTTTGATTATGATAATTACTTTGATTTTTTTTTATTTACCATGTAAGCTTCATGCAATGTTTTCCTCTGAATATTACTCTTTAAAAATTTTTCTTGATGTAGGGATTATTGGATCTTTCTTAATTTTAATAATTTTAGGAGTTATAGTTATGTTGTACATAGCTCTCAATAAATGTTAAAGGAATTGTTAAAAGACTATAAAATAAACAGTAAGGCTTGGATTATCAAAAATACATAGTTAAGGTTACTTCTTACTTTCCTGCTTAACCTGAATTCTTTGTGGTATCAAAATAGTTTCCTACCTACCTAAAATATTGTGCACACAGTTGTGCTTTTTAGTTACTCAGAATTCCTACTGTACCATGAGGATTTACATATAGAAGGTAATAGAGATCAGAGCAAGTGGAAGTTAGCTCAACATCATGCTTTACATCAGGAGTGCTTATTATGTTCTTCATGAGTAGAGAGTAAAGCAAATCTGATTCAGTGACCCCTGGTCAATCTAGATTTTATTGTATGTAGCTAGTAGGAGAACTGTTCCTTGAAATGGTTTTGCTTTGGAGCATTTCCGAGCTGTCCTTTTTCATATGTCCAGTCATCATGTGGCTAAGTAGTAGGGTCAGAGGAAGACCGCATTCACCTTAATCTTAGGAAGTATTTTATTCTAGTGATGTTAGCTATAAAGTTAATGTCCGCATGTTCTCTTCTTTCATTGACTTCCAAAGAACCTGGAATTGGGAGTCCAGATAACTTGGTTCTAAGACACTTTGGCGCTGATTAGGAGTGATAGGACAGGTCAACATCCTCTCAAGTTGTTCCGCTTTATCTTTTATAAAGCAGTTAGAATAAAGTATGTCGAATAACCTTTCAAGCTCTGATGTTCTCAAATAACTTAGTAAATTCTTTCGGAAAGAAAACTTCCCCAAATTGAAAATTTTTGGTAAAAAGGAATCTCATCGAATTTTACCTGCCACAGGTATGGCTGTTGTGTGCATGTGTAAATTGTGTGTACACACACATACTGCCTGCTCTCACCTGCTTCCTCTTTACACTCTGCCCTTCATAGAGCTTTGCTAAATCCTAGATCTCTAGTTTACGCTCACCCCTTTCTCCTAAGCTCTGGATATTTTCATTTGGGGGTACTACAGCTCCTCAAATTTAGCATGTTCCAAAAATTGATTTATTCCCCCTTTGATTCTTTACTACTCCCCTCTACCAAGACTGGTCAAAACAAAACACTTCACTGTTTCTCTAGCTCTATTAGCAGCGTTTTCCGCAACTAAGTCAGATAAGCACCAACTGCAGGGTCATGGTCAGCAGTTCTCATCATGGTCCTCCCAATTTGTGTTCTCCATGCCTACTGACCACTGACACCAACACCAACAGATATTTTTCCCTTTTTTTTTGAGAAAGTTATCTTTTTGCTTTTTTAACTGTAGTTTATTCTTAAGACAGGATACTTGTTAAATGTCCACGTTTATAAAATGTGAATTGTAAGATTTCACAATAAAACTACATGAATGATTGTAATGGTATATTTAGCAAGCATTGTTTACACACCATGTGTAAAACATTGTACATCTGGGGGAATGCGCATTACAGGAAATTGAAAATATGTGCTGCTAATAGTCGCATGAAGGGGCTGAAGTATAAACACATGAGTAGAATAGAATTATAAATAGCATCTGGTAACGCAGTGCAGCGTGGAGTAGCGGCTTGTGACCCCAGGTATGGATGAGGGCCCAGCCGCTTCAGTGTCACCTGGGAGCAGGTTAGAAATGCTGAATCAGAACCTGCATTTTATCAGGATCCGCAGGTGCCTCATGTGCACAGTCAAGTTTGAGAAGCCCTGCCATTGACACTGGGGCGCTAACACTGTCCTGAGCCTGTACGTGCACTGATTTAATCTCCCATGAAAACCTCATAAGGCAAGTACCATTGTTATTTCCCATTTATTGTTGAGGAAATCTGTTTGCCGAGGGTTCCTCAGCTAGTAAGTGGCAGAGCTGGAATTCACGCCCAGATATTTTTCCTCTGTCTTCCTCAGTCAGCTGTGCTGTACTTGTTCTCTGTATAAAGAACAAGGAGTAAAGCAGCCTACAGAAGGGGCTTAGTAAATCAGGGAAGACAACTTTGAGAAGAGAGGAGGTTTCAATTAGAACTGGGCATATGTTGTTGCAAGTGGCAGTTTTCCCTTCTTTTTAAGGCTGAATTGTGTGAATAGACCACATTTTCTTGATCCATTTACCTGTCAGTGGACATTAAAGTTGTTTCCATATCTCAGCTATTTAAGTAATGCTGCAAGGATTGTAAGAGTACAGTTATGTCTAAGATTCTGATTTTTGTTCCTTTGGATAAATTCTCAGAATTGGGAATCTAAAATAGTCAAACTCATAGCAGCAGAGAGTAGAATTGTGGTTAACAGGGAGTAGAGGGAAGTAGGGAGATGTTAGTCAAGGGGTGCAAATTTCAGTTTTGCAAGATGAGTAAGTTCTGGAGATCTAATGGATAGCATGGTAACTACTGTACTGTATAATTGAAATTTGCTGAGAGTAGAATCCTAACTTCTCAACACACACACACATACACACACACACACGGTAACAGGTGATGGATATGTTAAGTAGCTTGATCATAGCAGTTATTTTACAGTACATACATATATCAAATCATCAGCTTGTCTACCTTAAATATAGAGGGTGCCAAAAAAATGGAGACACATTTTAAGAAAGGAAAATTGTATTAAAATTATAATACTCAATATATACCAATAACAAAAGATGAATACAAGTCACGTTTGACTTCTGCAGTTACAAGAGGTGCTCAAAGTGATTACCATCAGCGTCCAGATGCTTCTGATAACAGGGAACTACTGCTTGAGCAACGTTGACCAAAATGTCCACTTGTACACATTTTTTTTGGCACCCCTGGTATATACAATTAAAAATAGAAGTAGGCATAAACTCTTACATTTTAAAATATATATTTAAATGAAAAAATACATTCCAATATCTTTTTGAAGAAATTATTTCTTTCCTATTGTTTTATGAGATGATTTTGGTGACTACATTTTTTATATGGAATGTGAATGTGCATTACTTCTCTTAACGTGAGTAAATGATGTCTTCATTACTAAACAATTCATTAGAATCAAAACAAAAGCAAATACTATTTAAATTGATACATAGTAGATGTTCAACTATTTGGATTTTGTCCTTTTTTTTTTTTTTTTAAGCCTGTATGACACTGGGTTAATGAGACCTAATGTCAGTGTGTGCAGTGATATTTTTAGGTTAATTCCCCATTAATCTTTTTTCATCCATACAGCAGACCTCTGAGAAGAAGGGCGAATTAATCGTTGAGCTTTATGTTTAGAGGCAAAAATGCTAGAAAACATTGTTTCTTCTTCTTGGGAAATATTTGACAGAAGAATCGTAGATTTTGTTTGTTTTCTGCTTTTCTTTTTGTTTTAAGTCTGTTTTTTCCAGTGAACTACCGTGTATAAATTGATTTTAAGTTTTATTCTATTATAGAGAAAAACACTATAACACTTTATAGACAAATGGCATATACTCAAATATTTATAGCTGTTTAATGGCATTTTATAGATATTTGGGCTTTGTCTTTATTTTTATTTTTTAATTAAGGGAATAGTGGGGCAGATGTGAGTTCATTGTGGCATTTGGCTTATATTTGCTTGGCTTTTTCATAGTCGGTGACACCCTAACTCCTAGCATGATAAATAATAACCCTCTGTGCTTGACTTTAACTTATTTGAGTTGTTTTCAAAATTACATTTTTTTTTAATTTTTAAAAATCAGCTAAAGCTTGTGTATGGTTAAGTTTTTGTTTTGTTTGTTTTTCGTTTGATTTTGTTTTCTTAGGGAAAAAAAATCCTATAAAATGGCTATTAAATTTTTAGCCAGTGACAATGAGATTTTTCTTAGTATTACTTTGAATTCTGTATCTCTTAATTCTCAGAGTATGTGGTTTTGTTGTTCTGTAGTGTCCTACTAAAATATTCATTTTTTTACAGTGTATTGCAAGTTCCACTGCATTACATGCAAATATGATTCACTCATACCTAGCTGTTTGTGGATTCAAACTCATAAATGAACCATCTTTAAGTTCAGCCAACAGTGTACTGACATTTTTCTGTTTTCTGGTATTTGCAGATTCGAGTGGTGAATGCATTTCGTAGTTCTTTATATGAAGGGTTAGAAAAACCGGAATCAAGAAGTTCAATTCACAACTTTATGACACATCCTGAGTTTAGGATAGAAGATTCAGAGCCTCATATCCCTCTTATTGATGACACTGACGCAGAAGACGATGCTCCTACAAAACGTAACTCCAGTCCTCCTCCCTCTCCCAACAAAAATAACAATGCTGTTGACAGCGGGATTTACCTTACAATAGAAATGAATAAGTCTGCTACCTCTTCATCCCCAGGAAGCCCACTACATAGTTTGGAAACATCACTCTGATTGTAAGCTGAATGTTAACACACTAGCTGCATTGTAAAGAAACAAATTGAAACTGGGTCTCTTCACATATTGTGACAGACAAGATCGTATTCTTGTCTTTGGACTTCAACAGAAGACACACTTGTACGAATGTAGATTTATTTTTTTAAAAAAAAAAAAAGCAAAGCTTTCTGCCAGACTGAGGGTGCTTTTTGGGGGGGTGGGAGAAATGAACTGACAGATAAACAGTAACTCACCATAAGTTGACCTGTGGATCATCAGTAGTACCTAAGAATGGTCCTGCACAGTGTATTAGCAGAGCTTTAGTTTATCTCAGTCCTTGATGGGAGAGAGGGAGGACTACCGCTGGGCAAGCAAAGAGCCCTGGATCATTGAATTGATACTTTAATTTCTGCTGTTGGCTGTTAATAATTTGGATTATTTATGTTTATAAATGATACAGATCTGTTTACAAGGTTTGTAGATACTTTTTTTGTTCCTGTTCATAGATGGGAAGCTTCCTTATAACTGATGCAGAGAAAAATTAGTCCTTCAAATACTGCTGTATTTTCAGGAAAAAAAAAAAAGGGTGTTTCTATTGAAACTGTACTAAATTTTTGCCTACAATTTAACTTGTTAAATATTGTAGATAAATTGCTAATACTAATAGCCAAATAGATAACACTAATGCTTTGTTTAAAAAAAAAAACAAAAAAACAAAACAAAACAAAAAAAACATGAGCAGTGGTGTTCTAATGAAGTTATGGCATCTGTCCTAATTAGTTTCTTAAATACATTTACTACTTAATGGTTTTGAAACAACTGTTTAATTTTTAAAATTTTTGAAAACTTGCTAATAACCTTTTGTTCAGAATTTAGTAGATTGTTTAATTCGGGACATCAACTGCATAATGAAAGATGCTTGAAATGCTTTTGTTATTTCAGGCAAATTAAATTAAATCAAACTATCAAACTACAAGAGAACCTTAGTCCTTTTTGTTTTTGTCTAAACATGTTAGTTCAGTGCTGTCTTGGTGAACTGTGAGTGAACTGTATTGACTTTTCTAATAAATCCTTAGGAACCTTCATACAGAATGAGGGCTGTTGGCATTTTGAAAAAGGTTAATAAGTAGAAGCGTACATGTTTCCCTTTTGTTTTTGAAACTTGTTTGTAAACATAAATAAATCTGCCCTTTTATTAAATAAATTCACGGCAATGTTTTTTTAAAGAAATTTCAGCTTCTTTACTGAATTCTGCATAGATGTTACATTAGTCTGTTCTCTTTAACCACAATTGGAATAAATTTCAAGATGGTAACAGCCCCATGAAGTACCGCTTTTAATTCCTTGGTGATAATCTAATAGAACCAGATTAAGAAAAAATATTACAATTTTACCATTTGACATATTCTTCATAGAATTTAGTTTGTCTAAAATAGTCTCACAGTTTAAAAAAAGTAATGACCACCATTGTCTTTGATATATTTATTTTACTTCTTAAGTGGCCAAATAACAGATTAGATAAAAATGAGATTATATGAAAAGGTGAAAAAGGTCCTCAAAATATTTAGATACAATAATCATATGCGGGAATGCCGATTTCTAAGCCAATCGGATTAAGTCTTTGTTTCTTTCTTTTGTTTACCTTCTCCCCTTCTTTGCCTCATCTTTACCTTTTAGGAACTGGCATTGTGTTAGGGCCCAGATTTCACCAGATACACAATCCTCAGGCTGACATAAAGTTTACGAGGACTACTACAACATCTGAGAGTGCTGACCCAGCAAAGAAACATTTAGTTGATGGTGCTTGATATTTTTGGTGGGTGGGGGAAAATCTTTTCTCTCCATCAGTCTTTTGCAGTAATCCTCTGCAAGTCTTAGAAACACATTGGCTCTGTCAGCATTTGTAATTGTACATTTATTCATCAGGTATTTATAGCGAATCATACTGTAAAAAGAGGTAGCATGATATGCTGGAAAGCATACTAGGCTAGGAGTCAAGACCTGGTTTCTAGTCTCGGTTTTGCCATTTACGTGCTGCATGACCTTGGGAAAGGCATTTACCCTAAATGAGGGTAATGGACTAGACTATCTTGAAGAAACCCTTTCAACTCTAAAAATTGACCCTATCAACTGGAGAAGCCTACAAGGCATAGGGAATAGAGAAAAGGGAAATGTTTTCAGTTTTCTTTTTTATTTTGGTTATGCTTAAATATGAATGTAATTACCAAAAGATTTAGAAGTGCATGTGCTATGGAGGATTTGTATTGAGCTTTTACAGTATTCATTTTTCAACTCAAGGCAATGGCTTTTTACACCAACTCGAATCCATAAACGGGTCTTAGGACATCCATGAAGTAGTAGCAAGACATGCTTAGTGTGTATTTCTCTCTTTGAGACACTGTAATTTCTATCAGAAATTTCCAGAGCATTATGTAAGTAGAAAAAAAGAATGCAAGCAAGCTGTTAAAAGATCTTGGATCCCATTATATAGTATGTATAGCTGAAATCAGCATCTGTAATTCAATCACTTTTTCTCTTTTATCCTCTAACTAAAAAATTGTTTAATTTTGCATCCCAAATGTTTTTAATCTTTGTATATTTTTTAAAAATCCTTTCTCCTCATCATTGCCTTTTTCGTGGTTGTAAATAGACTTACTTGCACTTTGAAGATGAGTTACTCCTTGTCATCTTACAAGTATGTGATATGGTAATTTTCATAACAGATGTCAGTTTTGAACCAAGAAATGATGATTTGTTTATAAGAAAAAAAAAACTGGCTTCATTTCTGTGAAATTGCTCTCTGAAAATTTCTTTTTACACGTGTAAGCCAACTGAGATACCGTGATGGTGTTGATTTCTTTCAATGATGCTTACCATCTATTTTAGCCACTGAGCCTTTTATTATTTGTCTATTTGTAAAGTTTATTTGTCTTAACTCATTTAATAAATATACTGTTTATCTGTTTCTGAATGGGGACTGAACTTTTTGAATATTTAAATTGATCCGAACATCATATTTTGGAATTACTTTTTTCTACTTGAAATTTTAAAAACTTGATTGATGAAAATTCTATAATGTACATGAAATGTTATGGCTGTGTTACAGTGCATCCGTGTTTCTAATACGCACGATCTTGCCCCTAGAATGAAAGTGGGTATGTTGTCCTTACAGTCCTACCCACCATCTTCAATCCTTATAGCACAATAGATGGTTTCTGCAGTCCATGGGAGTGGAATGTTTTGGTTTTAGAAAAATTTCGTTTTTCACATTGACTGTAAGAGCTTATTTTTTCATTAAATAATGCAAACTTGTCAATAGCAATTACCTGAACTCTATGGTAACAGAATCAAATTACTCTTAATTGGTTTTTATAATAAAATATTAACATAAATTAGCAAGTTTGTTGAAATACTGAGTGAACTTTAATTACTAATACCTTATTTTTCTATTAGTAAAAATTATTAAATTATGAGTATATGTAAGTACTTATGACATAAGAGATGTATTCCATTTTGTCAAATTAGGTTTTATATATGTTTTATGTATTATGATTGAATTTTGAATTAAGTTCCCTTTGTAAAATTAACTGAACAAGAAAGGGGGGTTACTGTACATCTTTGCTTGTTGACATTTTTTCCTTCCTGGTGTTTTTTAGAGAAATCCTGTCATATTGCAGCTGCCTTCTTTCATTTAACCTGTGCTACTCTAAGACTCCGTTGCCCAAACCCCAGCGCAACCTTTATCTTTTCAAATTCCAGTGTTACATTCATTTGTAAACCAAAAAAAAAGATACTTTTATTAGCATAATTATATCATCTAACTAAAATAATCTTTGAAAGATCCTTGAAAGTAATCTTTCTTTTAGGATAAGTATTATAAAAATTTCATAAAAAATGTTTCATGCAGTAAGGGAGGTTCTAGTTGTGTTCTGTACTTCTTTTAGTACATGTCAAAAAGGAAGTTATCCTTATAATGTAATTTCCTTTTCAACAGATTGATAGTTTTGTTCCTTAAATCCTCAACTGAGAGTTTACTTTTATGTTTTTTGTCTTAAGAACTACTTTAACATTTCCCTGTTAGAAAACACTTCAGCTTACAGATGAATATACTAAGCGTAAGCATGTTTACTCTGTATTATCTGAATTCTGTGTCATTATTGAAAAATACATTAATTATTTCTAAGTAGGGAATTAAAGTAAGAAATGAGCATTATGTGTTTATACAGTATCAGTCTTTGGCACAGCTTCCTTAACCAGCACTATATCCTAGGAAAACTGGTTCCCAAAATCAGTAACTCATAAGTCTGGGTGCTGGTTCGATGCAGCAAGTCCCTCAAATTCTCTTAATATAAGTCAATTGCAAGGACCACAGAATTTCTAAATTACCTCTCATTATTTAAGTACTGATACCTTCCTTAGCTACTAAAAGGAGTATTGTCACAACATAATATTTATGGAGTACTGCTATATGCTAAGCACTTGGCGTGTGTTATGTAAGTGATATCTCTGTGTACTACTCCTGCCACTTTACATATGGGGAAACTGAGGCTTATAGAGTTTAAATAACTTGCTCTAGGTCACGTAGAGGTGGGATTCACACTTAAGGCAGACCTCCTCAAGAGCCCAAGCACATGGCTACAGGTCTTTACTGCAGTAGCACCATCTTATTAACCTGAGTGAGCACCTAATGCCTGAAAATCTGTGCTTACCTTTTACGTGCTCCTTTGCTGTCTTTTTCTGATTCCAAATGCTCCAGAGATGATCTTAACAAATCTTCATAACCTCCCCAGAGGATAGTCAAGAAACTGAGGAAAGTATCACCGATTAAAATGTGTAATCCAAGTTTTCCTTATAAGCAGACCTCCACTAGCTGAAGAGTCAAAGATAAACTCAGTAGAATGGTATTTTTAATAGCATTACTTTGGCTAGAGAATTTTGTGATTCCATGCTTTTAAGATAGATATGTTTATTCTAAGTTTCATCAATAATTATTAATTTGACAGATACTGCTTTATATCCTAAATAATTTGGAATGAAAATAAACTTGTTACATTAATGAGATAGTCTGCATTTTTTGTTGTAAAAATTTGTGAAACTAAAGAATAGGATTTTTATATATTTTGAAGAATTACTTTGTCCTCTGGCAGTATTTTCCTTGATGAAAATGTTTACTGCTTTAATATCTAGCCTAAGGGAGTGACTATTTGCACTTTGGATTTAAATTAACAATTTTTAAAATAAAATTGCAGCCATTATTTCACTACTGTTTTAATACCATTTTATATTAATGTTGTTTATGGTTTGTGAATAGTCAGTTTGGCCTCCCTTGTAGTCTGTAAAAATGAGATGCTTGCTGATTTTTATAATCTTTAAGGCCACATTTATCTTAGTGAAGATAAAATGTTTTAAAACATTTTTTTCTGTAAGACTGCTTTTGAAATCCTAAATATTTAGTCTAAGGCATGCCTTAATGAAGAGCTTGAGAATGTATACAAAAAAATAAGGACAAGATCCCTGGGAGACCTGTGGTATCTGAGGTTAGAAATTCAAATTGGGATACTTCCAATTTATCTCGTATTCTAAATCTTTTAACCATAGCCGGCTCTTGCAGTTAGCTTCAAACCCTCTGAGAAGGGTAAGCCTGTAGCATCTAAAATTACTAATCTTTCACTTTCTCACTGCTATAGACTTAGGATGGATAGTAGGTCCCAACATCTGAAGTGTTGGTGTGAAGCGGGGTTGGGGGGTGGAGGGGAGAATAATAGTGAAGCCACACCAAGTTTCTGGAGTCTGGGACTCAACTTCTAAGAACACTACCATAGAGTCTGCCCTCCACTCCCACTGCCGCCTGTTCCTGACTCCAAAATGATTTAACTGCCAACTGCTTTCATGTCCTATCTACATCTCCCGGTCTCCATTCATTCAACAAGTACTTGGTACCTGTCATGGGGAATTCATACTGCTCTAGACTCAGGAGCTCCAAGCAAGGTCCTTCCTCTCAAGGAGTTTATGTCCTAGTAGGTGGGAGAGACAGACCTATGTCAGGTAAGGGACGATGCTGTTACACAGTGTAGTTAGGGAAGCCATCTCAGAGACCTGAAGGAAGTGAATGAGCCAGCCACTTGGTTGGAAGAGCCTTCTGATAAATGGTTGGCAAGTTAGGAACAGCAAGGAGGCCATGCAGCTGGAATGAAGTGAGCCAGTGGGAGGGTAGTAGGAGATAAGCTTGGAGGCAGAATGGGAGGCTTGGTCTGACCTTATCAGCCTTGGCAAGAACTTGCGCTCTTGATGGGAAGTCAGTGCAGGATTTTGAGCATAGCAGCAATGTAATTAGAACTTTGCAAACATCGTTGGCTGCTGTGTGGAAGTTAGGAAACCACTTAGGAAGCTATTGATTTTTTTTTTCAGACTCATTCCATTCCAGCTTAGGCTTTTCCTGCTTTTTTTGTAATCCCACCCCACCCCACCCTTTCTAAAGAGGCTTGTGGACCCCTTCTTTTGTCTTTTAATTTTACGCTTGTCCTGCTCTTCCAGACAACACAAGGCTGGCATCACTTTTACAGTCAACTTAGAAACAACCTACGTATTTTTTTCATTTGTTTGAGGCTATATGCAGTTTCCCACGTGAGTCGTGATAGCCTTTGTTTTTACTCTGTTACTCAACAACATGGTCACAAATAGAAGATGGCCATTTCTCAGCTGTTCAGTCTCTTAAGATTATAGTTGGCATCTCCTCCAAACTATCTTTTTCTTGCTTTGTGAAAGCTCTTTAAACCTGCTAATTTTATCCTTTATATCAAGCATGACTGCTCAGTCTCTTCGTTCCTCCATCATCCCCCAGTGTTTTAGCCTACCGACCTTACTGACTCCATGCTAACCCAGGCACTCTAGATGGCTACTCACTCCTGCTCTGTCATTTACCTGGATGGCTTTCCCTCCCTGACGTTTCACTACCTTGGTGCCTAAACCCGAACCACCTTCAGTGTCATACCTGTCCTCAGCTTCAGAGTATGCTCCCAGTCTGGCTGGTGACCAAAATGCACACCCATTTCGTGTTTTTCCTCACTGATGCTCAAACCTTTCATTTGTCTCCCATCCTTTTCAGGGTCATTCCTCATGTTTATTCCAAACCTTTACATTTTTGTCAGAGCCAGGATTCAAGACATAGTTTGACCCTAGAACACACCTTTCCAATTCTACCTCTCACTGTCAACCAAACCTGTGCAGTTCTTCCATGTATTTTAACAGATATCTGCCTCTCTTTGTGCATTATTATTGGTTTTTGGTGCCAAAGAACGGGATTTTACATCTATCTGTGTTTAAACTATTTTAGTCAACTGATATCACTTTGACTCCTAATTTTGTCATCTAGTTTATTCTCAACCCTTCTCAGCTTAATGCTGCCCAGACGGCAGTTAGCTTTCCTTCTGCTCCTTTATGGAAAGCACTGTTTTACAACAAAACACGGAAAGATATGACATCTGCCAACAACCCTTCGCCTTTGCAAAACCACTACTAGGTGATATTAATGCTCACTGAATCCAGTCATTCAGCCAGTTAGGGACTGACTAAATATGCTGTCATCATGCACACAAATTGCTATCAGATCCAAAAGTAGATGACGTCTTGTTGAAATGCTGTCGGCTACACTTGCTGTTTTCCTGCAGGTATTTCTTCCTTGGTTTGAAGTGCGCTTTTGTCATTCTCTTTATTTTCACTGTTATTTGTGTAGTCTGTTCCCTCTACCTCAGGCCCTACACCTTTCTCTCCACTTCCCTACCGTGTCTCATCATCAGTCTAACACTTAATCCAAAATGTTTCTCAATCACCACTTTGCCCCCATCATTTCTTTTCCTCAGCAAAAAATAAATCGGCAAGTAAATGCCAAAAAGTTGGAATGGCTCTTAACAACCGGCCTCATGTTGTCACCTCCCCCTCTCCACTTCTACAAGCTCATTCTCTGTTCATGTGTTCTTCCCTCTCCTGTAAATTCCTCCTCCAAGCGCTCCCTCCATGTTCTGGCCCTTTTGTACTTTTTTTTAAATGAACATTTATTGTTGTTGACCATGAGGGGAGTACAGCATAAGGAAGATAGTCAAGGGTTTGTAACAGTTCTATAACATGTCAGAGGGGTAGTAGCTTGGGGGAAGGAGGTTACCACTTTGTGAGGGGTGTAAATGCCTATTGTACTGTTTACCCTTCACAGAGCACACACCACCTGACCTCTCTCTCAGCACAACAGACATGAGGGAGAAATGGTCAAGAGTGCTCTTTTTCCTGGGAAAATTGCCTCTCCGGGAGAGGGTGCTGAGATTCAGAGAGTGGATCCCTGAGGGTTAGGGAGAAGCAGTATTATGTCAGAAGGGCATTTGCCTGTGAGACGGCAGACCTGGGTTCTG